TATTTAGTGGTGAAGTTTGACCTCCAGTCCAGTAGTATTGATTTGGATCCGGATTTATTTTCACCAAGCTTTGTTCTATTCTTCGTTGTGTGAAAACAACAAAGTCAATGTCTTTTGAACGTTGATTTTTTTAAATCGGTCGAATTGATGACGTGAATTCGTCCGATCAGTCTTTGTGAAATTAACACTTTAGTTTTCGCTCGTAGCTGCAGCCTTTAATTACTACTTATTTCGGTTCTTTTGGTTGAGTGAAATTAATTTTTTTTTAGAAATGCGCCCTTTTCGCTATATTCTTCCAGTACTGCAGCCATAACAAACCGTAACAGCTGTTGCATCAGCGTCCATTAAAAAACCTCCAAGTCCCCCACATTTTCAGCAGCAACAAGCCGATAACCGCAATTCCCTTAATTAAATTCCGCGTTAACACATGTTGCCACACACTGTCCGCCTTTTAGCCCCGACCTTGAGTCCCCTTATCACCTCGACCTTCGCCCCCGGCGACCCCCATTCAAACTTCCCGCGTCCGTGGCGCCACAATCGCTTCCCCGTGTACCGTTCGTTTCTGCTCGCGCATGACATTTACGTTTCTTTTGGAATCATTTGCCATCTTGGACACATGTGAGTAGCTTATTTTTGTGTGCGAAAATCCGCAAATTTGTATGAATTTATCCGGCGCACCGTCCCCGGCCGGCGCTCCCGCCGCCCGCTGCCGCCCCCCAGTTCCGCCCCGCCGCCACCCCTGACTTGTGCCGTTTTGACAGTGTGCACGATTTAGGTGTATGTTCGCGCCATGTTGCCTCTCGGCCCCACGAAAATGCGGCGAGGAGGCGGCGAGGGCGGCGATCTGACGGCGGCGCGGCGCGCGGCGACGCCGGGTCGACGGGTCACGGCCGCCGCCGCCGGCGGGGCTCGGGGGCGTGCGCCCCTCGCCCCGCCGCGTGGCAGCCCTTTGAGGTTATTGTTGTTGTTTGCAGCTTGCACGGTCTCACACAGGACACACAATGGCTGACATCGATGACACTCACTTCGAAACTGGGGATTCTGGCGCTTCGGCCACCTATCCCATGCAGTGCTCTGCCCTGCGCAAGAACGGCTTCGTCATGCTCAAATCACGACCTTGCAAGATTGTCGAAATGTCGACTTCCAAAACAGGCAAACACGGACACGCCAAAGTGCATTTGGTAGGAATCGATATTTTCACAGGTACGGGTGTTCTGTGGTCGGTAAGGAGTTACTGAGGGGGCTGCTTGCAGGAAAGAAATACGAAGACATATGCCCCTCCACACACAACATGGACGTCCCGCACGTGAAGCGCGAGGACTACCAGCTGACTGACATCTCCGATGACGGCTATTTGTCTCTTATGTCGGACAACGGCGACCTGCGCGAGGACCTCAAAGTGCCCGAGGGGGACGTGGGGGCGCAGCTGCGCGCCGAGTACGACGCCGGAAAGGATATCCTATGTACAGTGCTCAAATCCTGCGGGGAAGAGGTGAGTAGTGAGTGCGAGTCGATCGCCCCGGTGCTGACGGCACGTTTCAGGTGGTAATTGCTGTGAAAACAAACACCGCGCTTGATAAATAATCCCGGTCACGTGACGTGGGGGCCGTGCCTGTTGTCACCAAGTCCAGAGGCCTCCACAGCCGCTAAGCTATATATTATCGTATTGGACCAGTTATATCAACAGCTTACCTACACCAGGTGGACTCGCAGGTCGTCAATGTGGTGTTTACATTTTACATCTCTTTGTACTTTTGTTGGCGAAATTCTAATGCAAAAGCTACAATATTATGTTCAATAAAATTTAATTTAATTTTAAATGAATGTAAAGTTTTATTCGAGTTCCATCAAGGTCGCAGCCACCTGTTTCTTGCTTAAGATTTTTTTTCAGTTTGTTGAGTTCGGGAAGCAGCTGGCTCTGACTCCATTAAACTTGTTGATATTATGCTTATGTTCAGTAAGTATAGAATTTTTTTAATGATTGTTTTGATATTGTTTAGGCGTAAGTTTTTAAGTAACTGACCAATTGATTTTGCAATAATTTCCTGGAATTGGTTGAAATACAATAACATAGGAATTAGCCATGACTTTCATTCCCTTACTGGTTCACTTATTAGTGGTCATTGCTGGTCAATCACCCCTTAAAAATCAAAGACAAAGTGAGGTTAGGGTTGAGTGACGTCACGGCCATATTTTACAAAACATGTAATTGAAAATTAATTTTTAATTATCAAAACGTGTCTCGATATTTGGAAACGCCGGTATATAAACATGTCATGGCTGGCCCTAAGGATTTCTTCCACGAAACTCACTAAGGTATTCGATCGATCTAAGCGAAGATGCTATTTTCTCGATAAAATACTAAAATACGCTTTTTTTCAATATAATATTCTTATTTCACGTCCTCGGAAGTTTGCATAACGGTATTTTACAAAAATATTGACAGCCGACATAACCTCAAAATTGCAACACCAATTTGTCGTAAACACGTCTGGTGTAAACGCCCTACGTATAAACAACAACAAAGTACAAATTCATCAGTGAACTTGAGTTTATTCGTCTCAAATAAATATTAAATTGTCATTCGATAATCAAAAATCAAATTTAGTGGACATAACCTCAAATTTTTGAAATTATTTACACAGTGGTGGCGAAAATGAAAAGGCGTGAACTTAACTTATATTTCTTATTATTTTGTCGTTTTACCGCCAAATCTATTTTTATTTTTAGTTTATTTCAACGAGGTGACATATCACCATATCAGACTTATTGTACACATAAAATTCAAATGAATTTGCATACGTTTTCATTTTGCTCTCTTTAAATTCTACGATTTAAAATAAGTATTCTTCATATATGTACAAAACGTGGATTTCGTAGCAGTTTAGATGTAATTTTAGAACATAAAAGGACACTGATAATTTTGATAGTTATGTAGAATTATGGAAATAAGTTAGGAACATATCGCAACTAATTCACAAGTTAACAGATATTATCATAAAAAATAAAACACTTTATTTGTAACTCTCGAACACTCCATATCTGTAAATAATAAGTAGAGTAGAATTGTTTTAAAACAGTTTTTTTGTTTTAATTATTTTTTTTTCTAAATGTTTGATGTGACTGATGTTAGTTTTTGTTAGAATGAGCAGAAATTTTGAATTTTTTTTTAATGAATTAACATTTACTTTAATATTACCAATTCCATCTAACAACTGCAGGTTAAAATTAAAATATAAATGTATAACCTTATTATAAAACTTTTTGTTCTAAACATATATCTAATAATACAATGCTTTATTATTCCGCATTCAAAATTTTAAGGTTATGATAGCATGTTGTTGAAGTGTTCCTTGTTGTCCAAATTTAAAGCCAAAGATGGCGCTACCGCAAATTTTAAAATTTTTGAGATTTTCAAGGAAACCTTGCTTCTGTTAAATAACAAATACGTGCTAGTTTACGGAAAAAAATTAACTGCTTATTTAATTAAAACTGCTAAATGTTCATAACAACCAAACACATTTTAAAACAAAACAAAAAATGAACCCGTTTAATAAAAAAACAGTTTTGTAACATCTCTAAATAAAACTTATAAAATGAGATTAAATGTACAGAAGTGCTCCAAAAAATCCGGACATCTGATTTTTTTTAGCATGAATTACTATAGAAATGTTTAGAGTTTAAGTACAAATGATGTTGTAATTAATAAAGCATACAATAAAATTAATTGACAAATTAAAAAAGAAATAAGGTTGTTCTTTGAGAACCATGTATTAAAATTATTTTCAACCATACAGAGTGTTCTGTTTTTAAGGCCTAAAAGTAACATGTACGTTATTTTTTCAAATGGAATACCCTAATAAGTGGGTGTATTTCAGAATTTTCGACGTCTCGATTGGTCATGTGTATACTAAGCCGCCTTTAGAATGTAGAGTATATTCAAAGACTACCCCTAAAAATATAAAACGACCTTCAGCAATTTTAGTCATAAAACTGTCAGTGCCCATTTTGAGCTTATGAATGAATTGAAGTTTGAATTGACACTAGACGCCCTTTTTCACAATTTTGCCAACATAAATTTGAATTTCCAACGCACTGAGGTGTGAATTATTATGAAATATACTCTATATATTTTTACATAATGACCTCTTCTTAGGTTGATATTCCGTGCGACGTCTCCGAGTTATTCTAATTTCCTTGAAAATTTTCAAATCTCCCCTAGGAAAATTTCGGTCAATTTTTGAGCAGTTTCCAAACCTCCAGAAGTTACTTTCGGCTACTTTCTTCGATAACTGCTACCATTTTTCCAGAATTGGCCCCTGAAATTTAAAAATTTTTTGGAAAATAAAATTGATTTTCAAATCAAAATCTTGTTGATATTTTTGGAACCAGCCCTTGGAAATCTGCATAATTTTTTAACAACTTTTCTAAAAACAAAATTTTTCGATTTTTAGGATTCCATTAGAAAATTTCGGACAGTTTTCGAAACTTAACTAACAACAATTTCGTATGGATTTAGACCTACCTCTAGAAGTTACTTTCCGCTCGATTTCTTAGGTAATTTCTACCATTTTTCCAGAATCGCCCATTGAACTTTAGGAATTTTTGGACTAAAAAAAAATTGAAATTCAAATTGAAAAAAAATCATTTGCCAAAATCGGTCTTATTTTAGCAGCTACTTGCCCCGCCCACCCACCCTCTCTTTTCTTATAAGGTACTAGCAATGGAAGGGTTCGCAAAAAATCGCACTAGGGTCATTTTTAAAATGTGGCTTACAATATTTTGTGAATAGATTAAATAAAAATGCGCGCTTTATTGTGGCATAAGTAAAATAGGATTTTAATATACAGAATATTTATAAAAAATTAAAAAACAAAATCTACCTCCACATCTGTAAATTTATTGGTCAAATTGAAAATATATAATTCACATTAAATAATAGTTTTGATTAAAGAAACTCGGGTTAACGTTCAATCGTCAAAAAATAACGTGCAGTGTAAAAAGTAACAATTTTAACCCCCAACGACATTTTTAAGTCGGCGCCTATGGCATCGGTGTTTACTTTTATTTTTACTGTCAGGTTATCGATTCCTTAATCTTTCTAATAAGCAGATTAGTATCTATGTTTTCATAAAAATTAACACTCCTAACTGGCATGCACAGTGTAAACAAAATTATTACTAATTTACCACCGGGTCGAACCTAACCTCAAACTTAACCTGGGTTAACTTTTATGCAGAGCCCCTTGATTCACCTTGAAATTTGCAATCTGGTTTTAATTAATTGCGAACTTTTATATTTTTTTGGTGTATAATTGATATTAGGTCAAGAAAAAATTAATTATCTGTCAAGGATTTATCATCTCACGTTGCTGTCAAAATAACACAACGAAAATAAAATTATTGACTGAACGTTAACCTGAACCGCTTTAGCAATTACTAGTGAATTAATAGTGCCCTACTTTACTCATAATCCAGAATTCTCACCGTCTTGTCCAGAAATTATTAATAGATTAATAAACATAACCTCAAACCTAACCTTCACACTTCCTATTTTCATGTTCCCACGATGGTCCCCGCAGACTTTTGTTCGTTCAGAAAATCCTGCGAATTGACAATCTCTAGCACAAAGTAACCACTTCAAAGAGGTAAATGTGTCGCTACAACCTTTTGTCTTGAAAAAAATCTAACCTAACCTCACTTCTCGCAGGTCGCCCCCCTGCAGCCTCAGCATGTTCGGCACTCTCTCCCACAGCGTCTTCGACACTGAAATCAAAATCGAGCCCATCAGCTTCTACGGCTGCACCAGTTCAGAGGGCGAGGAAAAATCGGGCGCCCCCCAGGACGCCGTATGTGCCTCCCCCGCCCCCGCCGATTACTTAACCCTCACGTTGCAGGAACCCTGCAAGAAGCGCAAACCGCAGACCTGCAAAATATGCGGCAAAGTCCTGTCGTCCACTTCCAGCTACTACGTCCACATGAAGCTGCACTCCGGCAACAAACCCTTCCAGTGCAACCAGTGCGAGGCGTGCTTCTGCCGGAAGCCGTACCTGGAGGTTGCCTGCGGCTATTTTCCAATTTTCCGTCACTGTTTAGCCATTTCAGGTGCACCTGCGTACCCACACTGGCGAGAAGCCCTTCAAGTGTGACGTGTGCGAGAAGCGCTTCACGCAAAAGTCGAGCCTGAACACGCACAAAAGGGTGCACACGGGGCTGAGGCCCTACGGGTGCGATTTGTGCGAGAAGAAGTTCGCTGTGAAGAGTTACCTAGTGGCCCATCGGTGGTCGCATGTGTCCGATGGGCTGTCTTGTCCTGAATGTAATGCCGTGTTTAGTACCAAAAGTCAGTTCGTGCAGCACGTGAAGAGCCACAATAGTCGAAGGGGGTTCGTTTGCGGCATCTGCCAGAGGCGGTTTGTCCGGGATTCGTATTTAATCAGGCACCAGAATAAGGTGCACAAGAATAATAGTGCTTGATTTGTGATATATTTTTTGCTTTTTTTAAATAAAAGTGTGAATCTTGGGGGGTGTATAGGGGTTGGGGTCCCATGCTGTTACGTCATCAAAAGCTTGCAGAGATAGAATGAGTCAGATTCAGTTATTCAGCTGAAAAAAAAACAGTCCAACGTTTTCCATTAATCTTGACGGAATTTAAACGGATAAGTATTAGTACAAATTGTAAGTTTAACCAAAAAATCTGGAATTTTTTCAATATCAATTCATTTTGAAATGAAGAAAAAATATGCAATTGTATCGAAGTCGAATTAACACTATTCGACTTTGTTTTATTGCTATCAGAATCAGATAAAAAAAATTATATGGCGCGATCGAAAACTTGTAGTAGTAGTAGTAGCAGTACGCCATGATATATATCATGCAGTTGGCATCATTGATTTCGAAATGACAATCGTCAATCTTCGGCATGTTCGTTTGTCAGAGGTTCGGTCTAAGTGGCCCTGTCATTTGACAGAGGAGGTCTATAGAATAAAAAACATCAGCTGAATTTAGAGTGTTTTTCAGATTTTCCAAAATTTTTTCAATTTTACTTTGTGGTGACCGAATTTGAATTAAAATTTCGCGCTGAAAAAAATTAACAGTGGTGCGAAATCGCATTTGAATAATTTGAATTTGAAAAAAAATCAATCAAACAGGCAACCATGTGTACGTTAGCGCTTTTTGGGTAGTGGGTAGTTCTCCCTGGTTTGTTGTTGTGAGTGAAAACCACGTGGTGAGTTAGCTAGGTTACGTTTAGTTGGTTTGGTAGTTAATAAAAAGGAGAAAACCTTCGTTAATTCATGCGGCTTTCTAATCGGAAATAAGTGAATTTTCGACGACGCCAACACGTGTATAAATTTGTTTTATTGTTTGTAAATTCACAGTTCATGTTAGGAGTTTAATCGTTAACTGGTTCTAACACAGTTTAACAAACGGGAGTTTGTTTAGATAAACACTTGCTAAGAGATTTCATGAAATTCACTTTTTAGTCACGACTCGTTCAATTTTGTTTATCTAATTATGATTAAGATTGCTAATAGTTCGTTTAAGGCAGTTAAATTAAGCCAACGTTGCCCCATTCTGGAAAAAGGCCGTGAAAAGTGCGGTAGAATTCATAATATCGTGTCTGAGGTACGGGGGGATTATACATTTTTCATTTTTTCCCTTTAGGCAGGTCATCGAGACATATTATTCTCGCAACGCTGGAGACATTCTGTGTTGTTTATTTATCATGTGTTTTGTTTGGGATAAACAGTCCACGATATAAACTCTCAAAGCTAATGGTTTTAAGCAGCCGATCACTTGGATCAAGGCATCATTTAACATAATGTAAACTCTTTCTTTGAATCGTCGATAAAGTGTGGCATAATTTAACATCAAGTAAATTCTTTGTTTTAGCAGCGGTCATGTTGAAAGAGGCCGACGCCAACGTGAACCTCCAGATTGCCTGCTATATTTTTTACGCGTTTGTTTGGGGGAATGTATAATGATAATATAAAATACTGACCTCATCTAATTTTGTTAGCTTTGCAATTTTTCACCTCATACAATTTTTCTCTATCTCACAATTTTAGCATCAGTAATTTTCTTTGCTGCATAATTTAAATGGAACGTAAATTTTTATGCTCTGCACATGTTTTACTTCACACCAGCAGATCTTTTTTGTTTTTATAAATCTTTGCTAATTTTTTTATGTAAATATTTTGTTGATAAATGTTTAAATGGGTTACAATGAAATAATTTTTGGCTTTTTCATTTAAAATCTAAATTAAATTGGATTTGAAATTGTCTGATGTCTAGCCTTAATCTCAGATAATAATTCTTTGCTGTTTAAAATTTCACGAGAGTGTATGGCGAATTTAAATGTTGTTTATTACTCTTTGAAACTTTGACACTGGTTCAGTTGTAGTTTAATATCAGAGTCACAGACATTGAACATTTAAAATGGAATTGAGGTAAATAACACAGAAACACTTGGCAGAAGCGGAGGGCGCGGTTCCTAGTCGAGCTGGCGGGATTATCGCGCCATCTGCACAAAGAATGCAGGAGTTTGCGACCGTAGCGGCCTGCTCGTACGGCATCTTCATGCTTGCGATAAATAGAATCACCGACGTGGGTAGGAGAACAGCTACGACCAGGAGTCCCAAACTCCGCTCGTGCTACAACGCCCCCTGTGGGTATTTTTGCTGTGTTCTAGAATGAAATTGATGTAGTTCGACTTCCCCACTCTTATAGCGCTCTGGTGCCGCTGCCGCTACATAGTTTTTCATTAAAATTTTGTTCTCTTATTGACTTCAAATTCAAAATAATAATTCGAGAATAAATGTTCAAATTCAAGCTGTAAGAAAATAATTTAGATGTTAGAAAATAACACATTAATTATAATACAAAATAAACGTTTCATTTTTAGTCTGATATTAATGTAACTGATAATTGTCAAGGTCCTTTTGCTCAAAGTATGTCTATGTTTCAGGTTGGTTTAAATGCCATAAATAAACTATTATAAATCTCGAATGAGAAGTTACCAAGTGTGAATAATATAATAAATAAAAACATCGGATTTAATAAATATCCTTATAAAGAAGAGTTAAACAATGAATTTTGTGCGTGTTTTTCTATGAACAATTACATGATTGAAGTGAAACTGTATTAGAACCATGAATATTTAAAAAAATGTAATACATACATGAATTATGAGAAATCGAAATTACACGTTTTCATGAAACAGTCAAAATTTTACACATTAGAAAATTGTTAATAAACTGACATATTACTAATTACGCTCGTTGAAGGGGCCTGTGCCGTCGAATGTGATTCATTTTGTTTAAACTATTGCCCTTTAATAAAATTATTTACAAACAAAATTCTACTTAAAAATTTTTAACACAAGTTTTCCACTAGCACTGCTACACCAGAAGTAATTAGGCCAAGTAACCCCCAAATTTTGTACCTACTGTGCATTCCAATCTTAACTATCACCTGAAGGATGACATTCATTAATTCCTTAAACGCTCTGGAACATAAATGATTAGGTGCTTACGTTAGTGAATTATTCATATTATTTATTTATTATTTTGAATGTTTCCAATGCTAACTTTGAGTATTCCATCAACATTGTAAATTCACAATTCATATTGTGATAACCAATATCGTATATTCCCGGACATATTACATTTCAAACACCTTAAGATATATGAAAGAAAAAACATTCGCGAATTGACAGAGATGCACATATGAAAAACGAACAAACGCAAAATCCTGTACATATGTTTGGGATCAATGTAAATATTTGAATATCACAAATTTAACAAAAACAAAGCAAAATCTGAATTAAGTAACTGGATGCAAATACACAAGTTATTACGGGCGTGTGGCGCCAGACTTTCAAAGTTAACAGGAGGACAACAAAAGTACCCCTGGGGCGGAGTTCGGGGCTACCGGTCTAGGGCTGTTCTCCCCCTTCGATTGTGATTCTATCTATCGCAAAGCCTACCCGCACTCACACCTCCAGTACGATCATGCTGTACGAAACTAGGCCATTACGGTCGCCAGACCCGTAGGTGGATCTAGGCTAGCACGAAGTCTAGAACGTTACAACATCGGCGGCCGCCACTGAATCTATCCAAACCTGTGGACTTGTACAGGTGACACGATAAATCTCGCCAGCCCGACTAGGAACCGCACTTCGTTTCTGCCACGTTGTGATAACCCAATCTTCCCGCCTTAAAAATTTGACCTTGAAACAGTTTGAAAGGCCCGCGAAAAATTCAAAAATTCAAAGTTTGGCCTTGGCTGTGATCGTCTAACAAATGAGAACCTACGTTGTGTGTTTTTTTTTTTTGGTTTTGAAAAATGGCGGGAAGAAGTTCTTTCATACAAGTGCATACACGGTCGAGAGCGCCAGAAATAATAGACAAAATTAGGTTGGTCAAAAGCCTTCCTAAGGGGGAAAAAGAAACGAAGAACGACGACAGAGGCTCAATTTGCCCTCCTGGCGAGTCCGCAGGGCCAAAGTGTCATCGGTCTTCATTCCCCAAAACCCCCTGGGGTTTTATTCACCGACATATTACATGTCAAACACCCTAAGATATTTGAAAGGAAAACACTCGCGAATTGACAGACATACACATATGAAAACCGAACAAACACAAGACCTACACATATGTAAATTGGATGGCAGAACCCGAATCATTATGAGGGTGTGGCGATCGAACAAAATATAGAACAAAATATATCAATTTCATTTATGAGTACAGCAAAATACCCAGAGGGGGCGTTGTAACGCAAGTGGAGGTTGGGACTCCTGATCATCACTGTTCTCCCTCACGACGGTGATTCTATCTACACCAACGCCTGCTCACACGCATCTCTCCATTACGAACGTGCCCTGCGAAACGAGGCGGTTACGATCGCAGATCCGTAGTGGGGTCCCGGCTATGGACAGAAGCCGACAGCGTTAAAAACCCGCGATCGCCCCCTGAAGCTATACAACACCCGCGGACTTGTGCAGGTGACGCGATTAATCCCGTCAGTTTGAGAAGGAGTCGCGCGCCCCACGTACACTACGAGTTATGTGTTATTTACCTTCAATTCCATTTAAATGTTCAATCTCTATGACTCTAATATTAAATGACAACCGAACAAGTGTTAAAGTTTCAACAAAGAGCAATACACAACATTTAAATTCGCCACACACTCTTACGAAAATTCAACAACAAATAATTCTTAATTGAGATTAAATTTGGACATCAGATAATTTATATGAGAGAAACATTCATCAACAAAACATTTACATGATCAAAACTTAGCAAAGATTGATAAAATAAAGATCTGGTGTGAAATAAGCTTGTACAAATTAAATATCATGTTAAGTCGGAACTGCAGAGCATGGAAATTTACGTTCAATTCAAATTATACAGCAAAGAAAATTACTGAAGCTAAAATTGTGAGACAAAGACAAATTGCATGAGGTGAAAGATTGTAAAGTTAACAAATTTACATGAGATTAATAATAATTCGTGTCCAGTCAAGTTAGTGGTTAAAATTCAAACGTGAAATTATTCAGCTACATTGTGGGCCATTATTACACATACATTTCCCCAAACAGAACACATAAACAAACATGGCAGACAATCTGCAGTTGCAAAATGGCGTTGGACGAATTCGTCATTCCAAATAATAGGCGTCGAAAATATGCGATGCAAAAATACGATGAATCCTGTGGCGTTGTATAAACGATGTGCTAAATCCAAAGAATAAAGGCACGTCCCCCCATGACCCACAATGTTGTTATTTTGTTCAATAGATTCAGTTAAAACATGTGCTCGATTAAAAGAAACAAATGGACGCTTCAAAATGGCCGCTGCCTGAACAAAGAACGGTGAAAATAACAACTCGTTTGCCGCCATCCAAAATACAGATTTCACAAATATAGCTAAATAAAGCATGGTCCGAACTAGAAATCACTTCCTGTAAAGCCCTACTGCGATGGATTTTAAATGAAAGATAAAAAAAAAACGAGATTAGTGGAAAAAAGCGCACGCGTCGCTGAGTCACGAGGTCAGACGCATCATCGGGACTTGAAAACTCGCGGCGACACAGGATCCAGTCCAAAACGTGGTCAAAACATACCTCTCCAAAGATGCGAAGATTTCGACACGGCTTACCGCCAACAGGAACACAAAAACCTCGTCGTAAGAACGGTGAGAAATCAGGAACACCCAATGGCTCAACGGGGGCTGCTAGGTTTTCCAATGGAACGGATCAACACTGGAAACGCAAAAACAACAGCAAAAGGCACAGAATAATTCACAATCAAAAATACAACCTGTTGCTCGAAGCGCTCGAAAGGAAGTCGACCGTTTGTTCCAAGCGGTCAAAGCGAAGTGGTGTGTTTTACAAGAAACAAAATCACCCTCGCTTTGCGCATGTCTGTTTCTTTGGGGTGGTTGGTTGCCAACCTCTTCTTCTTACCGACCGTTTCTTGTGCGCGCAGAATTCATTTGAAATTTAAAAATTCGAATTGGATCCTTACAACGTTTTCTGTGTTATTTAACCTCAATTCCATTTTTAAATGTTCAATCTATTATAACTCTGATATTAACAACAACTGAACAAATGTTAAAGTTTCAAAGCGCAATAAACAATATTTAAATTCGTCATACAATATTGTGAAATTTTAAACAACAAATAATTCTTACGTGAGATTAAAATTTGTCATCAGATAATTTATACGATTGACACATTCATCAACAAAGTATTTACAAAACAAAACTAGTAAAGATTTATGAAACAAAAGATCTGGTGTGAAATAAACTTGTGCAAATAAAATATTATGTGAGGTTAAAACTGCAGAATATGAAATTTACGTTCAATTAAAATTATACAACAAAGAAAATTACTGAAGTTAAAATTGTGAGATTAGAGAAATATTGTATGAGGTGAAAAATTGCAAAGTTAACAAAATTTACAGGAGATTGATATTTGCCACACTTTATCAACGATTCAAACAAAGAGTTTACATTATGTCAAATTATATCATGATATAAGTGATTGGTTACTTAAAAAAAAAACAATTTACTTTGAGAGTTTAAAATACCGCGAACTGGTTACCCGAACAAAACACATAATAAACAAACACAAAAATATCCAATCATCGCTGCGAGGGAAAAAGCGTCTCGGTGATGTAAATTTTAAATCGTTGTGAGGAATTGCCTCGATGATGTATATTTTAGCGGTGGGAGGAATAAGCCTCGTTGAGGTTATTAATCTCTAACGTTGCGAGGACGAACCTCGATGAAGTAATCAATCTGTAGCGTTGTGAGGGCATGCCTCGATGAAGTAATCAGGATAACGACGATAATGATGATGATAATCGCCTAAGGGAAGAAATTATTTAACCCCCGCCAGTTCGCAGTATAATGAAATTGTTTAACTGCCGTAAATGAACTATTAGCAATCTTGTGTGTAGAAATAAGAAGTGTTATAATGTAACACTTACGTACGGTTTGGGACACGGAATTTCAAACGACAACCAATTTTCTGACATTTAAAAACATTGTAGTCTTATACCTTACTGTCATTATGATTGACAGGTCGTTTGAAATTCCGTGTCCCCAACTGTATATGCATCCAGAAACCTTTTCGTAATTAAACAACAAGGTGTTTTCCTGACAAAGTGAATTTCATGAAATCTTCTAGCAAGTGGTTTATTTAAATAATCCTGATTGTTAAATTGTTGTAGCACTAGCTGACGATTAAGAAAAAATAACTTGATTGGTAAATTTTCAAACAATAAAACAAATTTACAGCACGTGTTTCGCTTTGAACGAAAGTCCGCGATTTTTCGATTAAAAGGCCGCAAGGATTAACCGCACGGGTTGGGGACAACAAAGTGACGTCGATTACGATTGATTGTCGTTAAACAAAGGGTTTCTCCCATTTTATTAACTACCAAACCAACTAATTTAAACCTAGCTCTTACCACGTGTTTACACTCACAAAGACACATTCAGACTGACGCTCCGCCATGCACTGTTCTGTCTCTACCAACCCTAGTTGTTTATGTTTAACGATTTATGTTTTGAATTCTTTTTTTTTCGAATTTTGATTTAAATTCGGACACCATAATATTAAGATTTTTAACTGTTCATGGTTCTCATACAATTTAACTACCATCACAGCTACCATAATCAGAAAATGTTCATATAAAAACATGTGGTAGAGGAAATTCATTTATTGAAGCTTCACAATTTTTTTGTCCCGGTTTTGGATGTTTTTTCTCAAATTATTATATTCTCCACATTTCATAATTTCTCACTCGAGATTTATGATATGTCATTATGATATTTAAACTGATCTTAAACCATTTTGAGAAAAAGGACCTTGAAAATTATCATCAGTTAGATTAATATCATCGTGGAATTGAAAATGCAGGTTTATTTTGTACTATATGAATGTGTTATTTTATTCTTGAATTGTTTTTTCATTTTGACCGTATTTAATATCTTCCTTGTCGTGTTTCTGTTATAGGTAACTTAACTTGCATGAACGCATAATTTGACATCATGTAAATTTTTCGTTGTTTTGTTTGCTTTGTACATTCATTTAATCATCATCAGAACTTCCAGAGTACAGATTTCAGATTAATATGGATTTAATCCAAGTTAGCCAGCCATTGTTTTGTTAGATTCCGACCGGGGTACCTACTTCTTCGTGGAATGCGCAGGTCTTCCGGCCTGGCAAATGGATGATGTGCATAGTTATGTACTAGCCCTTGACCCGCGAAAATGAGTACACAACGTAACGTTGAAAAATGAAGAGAGCTCGATCGCCTTTATCAGAGCCATCGATCCCGTAAAAGTGATTTATGATCCAGACTCCTAACAGTCTTCGATTTTTTTTTATATTTAAATGAACGAGAAGTATTATCATTTAGTTATTTTAGTGACGACTTCCTTTTTCTTTTTGTGTGTTTTAAGGAACAAATAATTTGCCCTCCATATTTTGCATTTTTATTAACGAGACTTTCCCACCCTTGGGGTTCACTTTGCATTTGAAGGCATACGGTCATTTAAAAAAAAAAAATAAAAAAAATACAGACACAAAGTTGGGTTCGATTTTGTTGACGGTCACAGTTCAAAGCCAAATTTTGAATTTTTTGCGGTTTTTAAGTGTTAAAAATGATATTCTCTATTTTCATTTAAAACTGGCGCTAGAACTACTTTTTTGTGCGGAGACTTTGGTACTGTGGTGTCCCAGTTTGAATTAAACTTTCGCGCTAAAAGACAAAAGCAACGCCGAAATTACATTTGAATAATTTGAATTTGAAATATAAATCGCTCATGTAATTCTTGCAACGCCTGTTTCTGGTGCCACGGGACCATTCCAGGAGACAAACCAAATCCCTCTAAAACCGTAAGATAAAAGTTTATATCATGAAAAATTACAATTTGAACTTAATCCTAACAATAAAATAAAATTCCAGCCTACAACGTACTTTCGACTTTACACTTAAAACTATCAATTATGCAGCATCGAGTAGTCGATGATCTCTTTCAGACACCTCCCGAACTCCTCGATGATCTGCCTCTTCGTCACCTCGTCGTCCTGCATGCCCGCCTCCTCGCTGTTCGAGATCGTCAGCATACACTGCGACGTCGCTTCGATGACGTCGTCGTTGATAAAGTTAATCGCTTGCCGACTGTTCGACGTCCGCCTCGGCCTGAACTGCAGCGGGTCCTTCGACTGCGTCATCTTCCCCTGCAGCTGCTGGTTGAACCCGTCCTCCAGGTTGTTCCTCATCCCCTTCTTCTCCATCGAGTCCTCGATGTTCCGGCAGCCCACGCACTTGCAGTTGTTCGAGCACGCGATCTTCGCCTCGTAGCACTCGCAGTAGTTCTTCAGGCAACCCGAGCGCTTGCAGTTGCAGCCCTTCGTGTGCTTCCGCACCGAGCTGTCCCCCGACACGTCCTTCGCCTTGCCGATCTTCGGCCTGAAGGCGTTCGGGTTGCGCTCCAGGCACGTCTTGATCGCCCGCTGGCGGTGGTCCTCGTTGTCCAGGTTGTTGTAGCAGTTCATGCAGTTGCACATGTAGCAGAACTCCCCGTTGGCGAAGCAGTCGCAGTAGAGCTTCAGGCACTGGCTCTTGGTGCAGTTGCAGGGCTTCCGCGGCCGCATCCCGTTCGATTCCAGGTTGGCCTCGGGGGTGATGTTCACGCTGGTGTCGGGGGAGACTTGCTTAGCGACCGGGGTGTGGCGCATGGGTATGGGCACTTTCGTGTTGAGCTGGGTTTGGACGTAGCTGGGCAGCATTACCACTTGGCCGGTGGTGACAGCCGTTTTCGCGGCGATGTTCTTCAGGGGTTTGGGGGCGATGGCGGTGCCTTGGCTGGCGGCGGCGGGCTTGATTTCGGACAGGACGATGTTCGTGGGGGAGGCCTGGACCGGGGTTTTCACGGTGGTGATGGTGGAGGCGGACGTGGGAAGGGTTTCGGAGTTGGTGGCCGTCACGAATTTGATGTATTGCATCTGGAAGGAATTTTAATTGCAGAAGTCCGAACTTGAATGAATTATAGTGGTGTTATGCAAAAATTATTTTGATTGGTTCCCTCAATCTTGAAAATTTTTAAATTTAATTGTAAACTTTTTATGATGACCCCTACACGCTATCTCGTGGAAGATCTTCAGTATCTGAAGAAGTTGTAGATGATTTGAGCAGAATCCGTAAACATCTTTGGCAAAATTTCCTCAGCAATCAGGAGTTTCTGATGCAACATGAAATTAAAAAATTGGTGCCTTGACAAAATGGTGAATATTTTCAACATTTACTGTGATGTTTAACCCCAATAAATTTGTTTCTTTTTATTGTAATGAATTAGTTTCATTTTTTAAAAAGGTGTGAAGAATTTAGGCAACCAGTTATATAGATGCGTGTGGTATTTGTCGTGCGCTCTTGGACATTTAGTAAGGTTCAAACTGAGAGGCGGCACGTGTTTATGACCTACTTCGCCCCTATAATCATTTATAGAAACCCTGAAAATGAAAATAAATTCTCTTCATTGCTCAAAACTCACACAAATACGGGTTTAAGTGAACGTGGAAAAGGGAAATAACTCGTCGGCTGAGAATTATTTTGAACCAAGTCCATTTTTTCTTAAATAATAGATTTTGTATCATACAGTCTAGTGATTCTAGTTTCATGAACAAGCAGTAGCCCCGCCCACCCACCCCTTCTTCATTCCAGTGACTATTCTTAATATTGTTCAGTCCTATCTTATCAAGTTTTAGCCCCGCCCACCCACCCTTTTTTTTCTTGGAGAATATATCATTTACCAAAATCAATCTTTTCTTAACAAGTACTAGCCCCGCCCACCCGTCCTCCATTTTTTAGGGGTTATGTCGTTTGCCACAGTTAGTGTTATCTTAGCAAGTACTAGCCCCCCCCCCGATTCCAAATAAAAAATTGGAAATATGATAAAAATCCTAAAGATCTAAAAATATTTAAAATTCTAAAGTTACTGAAGTATCTAAAAATAATGAAAATGTGAAAGCTCGAAATATTATAGAAATTCTAGTGATTCAAGTTTCATGAACCAGCAGTAGCCCCGCCCACCCACCCCTTCTTTGTTCAATTGACTATTCTTAATACTGTTCAGTCCTATTTTATCAAGTTTTAGCCCCGCCCACCCGCCCCCCATTTTCTTAGAGGTATGTCGTTTGCCATAATTAGTCTTATCATAGCAAGTACTAGCCCCTCCCACAGATTCCAAATTAAAAATTGTAAAGATGATAAAAATCCTAAAGATCTAAAAATATGTAAAATTCTAGAGGTACTGAAGTATCTATAAATAATGAAAATCTAAAAGCTCTAAAGATTATAGAAATTCTAGTGATTCTAGTCTCATGAATAAGCAGTTACTGAATAGAATGTAAAGCGTTATCAAAAAGTGAACAAACATAATTAAAATCCCAACTTTTTAATTTTCTTGTTACTTTTTGAATTATAATTCCAAATAATTAAAAAACTAAAAAAAAAAACGTAATAAAATCTTTGTTTTTTGATTTTTTTTACATCCGTTTTTTCCAATTTTATACCAGAAGTACAGCGCACGTCGTTTATAAAGTACGGCCTTCGTTCACACTGTTAACATATAATTTAGAAAATCTGGATCTCTAGCATAAAAAATAAAGATGGATTCATAAACCACAAGTATAAACGTATTATTTCATGAAATTTACTATTGTATTGGCCAGTGTTTTACCATCTGCACGATAAAATTTGACAATAATCGGTCGAATAGTTTCGGATTATCTATTTAATAAATATTGACACAGACGACAGACAGACCGACCGAAACGGAAGAACTTTTTTGATCATAAAACGGTGAGACAACACGAAATTAGCCGTTCGCCGCAATTAAAAAAGGTGAAAAAAGAATTGACAGAGATGACAACAAATTGTGTCAAAAAAATATGAGCACAAAAAATGGACTTAAAAAACGATAAAAGGCGCTAAGAAATAACTAAAAAAAATGTGACAAAAAAAATTGGTCGACAGAACTTCCCGCCCGTGAAGTGCAGCCCGTGCAAATTCCAAGGGGACGCGGTGCGCACAAGTGCGAACAATATAAAATATATTTAAAGCATAAGTATAAAACTTTTAGAAAACTGGAAAACTGAAAAATCGAAACATCAAAAAATGTAAAAAATACGATATCGAAATACTGAAAAATCCAGAAATTGAAAAATTCCTAAAAGTGAAATGTTGACAAACTGAGAAATCGAAAATTTGAAAAATCGAGAAATCTAAAAATCGAAAAGTCGAAACATTTTAAAAATTGAAAAACCGAAATGATAAATAGAAACACAAAAAAATCGAAAGTTGAAAAATGAAAAAACTGAAAAATAAAAAATTTAACAATTCGAAAAATTGAAATAACGGAAATATCGAAGAACGGTAAAATTGGAAAATCGAGAAATCGAAAAATTTAACATTAAAAAAATCGTTAGAATGAGAATGGGTGGGGCTAGTATCTGCCAAGATAAGATTGATTTTGGTAAATGACATACCCTTTAAGAAAAGGGTGGGAGGGGCTAATACTTGCTAAAATAAGACTGATTGTGACAAATAATATACCCTCTAAGAAAATAGAGGACGGGTGGGCAGAGCTAGTACTTGTCAAGATAAGATTGATTTTGGTAAATGGCATACCTTCTAAGAAAAGAGAGAGTGGATGGGCGGGACTAGCATCTGCTAAGATAAGACTGATTTTGGCAAATGAGATACCTTCTAAGAAAAAAAAGGGTGGGTGGGTGGGTGGGGCTAAAACTTGCTAAGCTAGGACTGAACAATATTAAAAGTAGTCACTGGAAAGAAGAAAGGGTGGGTGGGCGGGGCTACTGCTTGCTCATGAAACTAGAAAAAACTAAATCTAGCCCCGCCCACATTCTTTCTTCATTTCACTGAGTTGTTTTCTTTAGTGTAAAATAGAAATTGAAAAATTACAGTATTGTATTCTCAAAATTTTCTGGGAAAACGGAGTGAACCGTTCCTGATTTAATCGATAAAATGAACTGACTTATTCATTAATTTCTTGGAACCACCTGTTTAAACAAAAAAATCGAAAGTTGAAAAATGAAAAAGCTGAAAAATAAAAAAATTAACAATTCGAAAAATTGAAAAAATGGAAATATCGAAGAACGGTAAAATTGGAAAATCGAGAAATCGAAAAATTTAACATTAAAAAAATTGAAAAATTAAAAATTTAAAAATTGAAAATCCAGTTTAAAAAATTGCAAACATTGAAATATTGAAGAATCGAAACACCGAGAAGTCGAAAAATCGAAAAGTCGACAAATTGAACAATAAAAAAATATCCATATCTTGATAAACCAAGATCTAAAACCGAATAGTCGAAAAACCGAAAGATTAAGAAATTGAAACATCAAAAACACTGAAAAATTGAAGGGTCCAAAAATTGAAAAATCGTAAAATTTAACATCGAAAGTTAAAAAATTGGTTGAGAGTTGTTTGGACAGAACTTGCCTCGCTCCTGAAGTATAATGACACATATACACCATTTTTGAGTTGAGTTTTTAGTTTATATAATTTTGTGATGACCTCATCAACATGCAAGGACACGTATATCAACTTGGATAGGTGCAGTGTAGTACAGTTTCGGCCAGAAAATCTTGGGCAGTATTTTTCTGTCATTTAAAAAAAAAGACGATGTAGTCTATGCTTTATTGTCATAATGACTGACACTTTTCAAAAATCAATTTTGAGAAACGTCAAAGTGACAAACATGGCAAATTTGAGGTTATAAGTAGGTAAAGCCTGCTTTAGAGCTCTTGTCAATGGAATGACAGAACTGCCCAAGATTTTGTGGCCGAAACTGTACTTGTTAAGATAAGACTGATTGCAGTAAATTACATACCCCCTAAGAAAATAGAGGGCGGGTGGGCATAGCTAGTATTTGTTAAGATAAGATTTATTTTGGTAAATGACTGAACAATATTAAGAGTAATCACTGGAATGAAGAGGGGGTGGGTGGGCGGGGTTATTGCTTGCTTATAAAAGATTCTGTAGGTAAAAGTTAAACTTCGCCCCGCCCACCCACCCGTTCTCTCATTTTCTTCTTCAGAAATCACAAATAAATATTATAGCAAATAAGTAATATAAGAAAAAAATTACCCCATTCTCACTTTACAAAAGAACACATAATTCACCACGCCCACCTACCCCTCCTCTTCTCATTCATTTTGTCTAGTCCGAATGAAAGATGAATCTCAGTTGAAGAGAGATAAAATCGTTAGAATGAGAACAGCGTGTGTGGGTGGGGCCAGTATCTGCTAAGGTAAGATTGATTTTGGTAAATGACATACCCTTTAAGAAAATAAGAGGTGGGTGGGCGGGGCTAGTATTTGTCAAGATAAGATTGATTTTGGCAAATGAGATACCTTCTAAGAAAAAAAAGGGTGGGCGGGTGGGGCTAAAACTTGCCAAGCTAGGACTGAACAATATTAAAAGTAGTCACTGGAACGAAGAAGGGGTGGGCGGGCGGGGCTATTGCTTACTCTTGAAACTAGAAAAAGCTAAATTTAGCCCCGCCCACATTCTTTCTTCATTTCACTGAATTATTTTATTTAGAGTAAAATGGAAATTGAAAAATAACAGTAATGTATTCCCAAAATTTTCTGGGAAAATGGAGTGAACCGTTCCTGATTTAATCAATAAAATAAATTGACTCATTCATTAATTTCTAGGAGCCTGTTTAAGCGAATGTAAAAAATATGAATGCAATGAGAAATAAATTTTGTTACGCAAATCTAAAAAATCAGGTTCTTATTTTGATCAATAAAAAATTGGTCTAAAGCTATAAGTATAACTCGACAAATCCAACTTCCGCTGTAAAGTAAAAACCAGAGGCATAAATAACACCCCTTGTCCTTCAGCAGTGGGTAATAGCAATCTGAAGCTCAAGTGTTTATTTATGTTTATACATCGAAAGAATGTCACGTAGAATGACGTCATTAAATTGTTGGTGGGATGACTAGACAAATTTTGGTTACCATTTAACCATCTACATGATATTTCTAATATACGTACAAAATTTGACAACTATCGGTCCAACAGTTTCGGAGATTACGTGTCTAATAAAAATGGATACAAACAGACAGACCAACGGAAACGGAAGACTACTTTTTTCGTACTCTAGAGGTCAAGAAACGTCGAGAAAACATAAAAGTGCCCATTCGTCCGATGGACTCGATTGCAATACTTCCTTCGCTTCCACTCGGGAAGTAAAAATCGACAGGCTGAAAAATAGAAACTTCGAAAAAAATTTGATTTTTCCCAAAAATCTCGATGTCTAGGAGAAACATTCAAGAGGGATTCATAAACAACAAATTCAGAACTATGTTACTTTTTAACATTTAAATAACATTTATTTGACGAAATTGTAAGATGACATCATCAATTTTTGGGGAGCGGGGCGCATGAACGGATAAATTTTGAAGCACTATTTTGATATGGCGTCATTCATTACTTGGAGGGGATGAATAAATAAAATTTATAAATTTATTTATTATTAAAAGTAGGTGATTTGTAAAGATAAGACTGATTTTGGCAAATCATATATCATCTAAGAAAATAGAGGGCGGGTGGGCGGGACTAGTATTTCCTAAGATACGATTGATTTTGGCAAATGACATACGCTCTAAAAAAATAAAGGGCGGGCGGTGGGGCTAGTGTTTGTAAAGATAAGACTTATTTTGGCAAATCATATATCATCTAAGAAAATAGAGGGCTGCTGGGCGGGGCTTGTATTTGTAAAGATAAGACTGATTTTGGCAAATCATATATCATCTAAGAAAATAGAGGGCGGGTGGGCGGGGCTTGTATTTGCCAAGACTGATTTTGGCAAATAATATACCCTCTAAGAAAATAGAGGGCGGGTGGGCGGGGCTAGTATTTCCTAAGATACGATTGATTTTGGCAAATGACATACGCTCTAATAAAATAAAGGGCAGGCGGTGGGGCTAGTGTTTGTAAAGATAAGACTTATTTTGGAAAATCATATATCATCTAAGAAAATAGAGGGCGGGTGGGCGGGGCTTGTATTTGCTAAGATAAGACTGACTTTGGCAAATGACATACGCTCTAAAAAAATAAAGGGCTGGCGGGTGGGGCTAGTGTTTGTAAAGATGAAACTTATTTTGGCAAATCATATATCATCTAAGAAAATAGAGGCCGGGTGGGCGGGGCTTGTATTTGCTAAGATAAGACTGATTTTGGCAAATAATATACCCTCTAAGAAAATAGAGGGCGGGTGGGCGGGGCTAGTATTTCCTAAGATACGACTGATTTTGGCAAATGACATACGCTCTAAAAAAATAAAGGGCGGGCGGGTGGGGCTAGTGTTTGTAAAGATAAGACTTATTTTAGCAAATGATATACCCTCCATCACAATGGAAGGCAAGTGGGCGGAGCTAGTATTTGCTAAGATAAGATTGAACAATATCAAGAGTAGTCCCTAGAATGAAGAAGGGCTGTAGAAATCACTGAATTTGCGGTAATTAGGTTCTCCACAAAATTTTAAACAATTTCATTAGGTAAATTTTTTAAATCAACTGTAAAATCTGATTCTATTAACTTGATTTTTAAGGGTAACAATACAAGTTTACACTTAAAATGACTTTACCTCAACAAAAGTCAGAGGAAAATAGGAAAGTTGCATTTTTGAATTCTACAAACGCATTGACAATCTGTCACTTTAATCAAACACCACAAATGGCAACTTACAAAAAATAAAAGATACTTTCAATCAAAATGGAACTGAAATTGATAGCTACCTTTAAAATCAGCAATATAGGTATTTCTAATTTTCTGAATTGTTAAAAAAAAAATGTAAAACTTAACGAACAAACCAATTTATTTTATTGATTAAATTCGCTATATTTAAAACCAAAATTTGCAGAATCAACGTTTATCAAAGAAACTGAATTTGTGTGAATGTGTTTGAAGTGCGAGGGAAGTTCTGTCTAAATAACTTTAAAACGGTGCTTTAGGCCAATTTTTTTGCAACTTTTTTTCTCATATTCATGAGGTCATAACCTGCCTCACAAGAATAACAACTAAAAAAACATAAACAACAACATAACCTCAAAATTCATCCGTGTCAATGAATTTTTGGACCGCAGTCACTGGAAAATCGAATAAGGATGAATTCTTACGCAGGAAAAGTGAAAGAGCTGTGTCTTCTAAAAATCTGAAAAATGTAGTGCCTTTTTTAATAAATTAATAAATTTTTCCAAATTTGAACAATTTATTATCCAAATCTTCAAACCTTTACTGTTAAATTTCTAGTACTTTTTTTAATTTCTACTACTTTTGATTTGTAATTTCAAATATGTGGTCTGGTTGTTGCTGCAGCTTTTGAAAATTGTTCAACCCTCTACTTACCCCCTTCCCCGGAATATTAATCTGATGCAACTGCCCCGTACTCAACGCTTGCGTCCCCGCCACCTGAATAATCTGCGCCGAGGGCAAAATGGTGGTCCCCGTGGCCGCGCTCTTGAAAAAAATCCTCTGCGGCACTTTCGACGTCGACGTCGTCTGCGTCGCCGGTAGAATCTTCGTCGGCGACTTAATCTGGCTCACCGCCACCGTCTTCTGCCCCACGAACTGCGCGGGGGCCACCTGAGGCACGATCTTGATAGTCTTGGGGGCGGCGCTCGCCTTGTTTAAAACAACGGTATGCTTGGGTGTCGACTGCGCCTGCGGTAGCATTTTCGTCGTGGTGATCAGCCCCATCTCCTGCGCCTGCTGCAGAGTTATTGTCTTCGTGGGGCTGGGAAGCGTCGTCTGGGACGGCAACAGCTTCACCTGGTCGGCTTTCTGCACCACCATGATGTGCCCCTGCTTATTCGTGAACGTCGTGGTGGGCTTCGGCGTCGTTTTTTGAGCAGAAGTGATGATTTTTTTCATGACGACTTGCTTGGGCTGCATGAGGGCCAAGTTGCCTTGCGTCGTCACGGTTTTAACTGCGGGTTTTATGGCGACGGGGCGCCCCAGAGAGATGTTGGCAAGGTTGAGTTCCTGCCCTTGCGAGGAGACTAATTTGATGGCTTGGTTGGAGTTTGTACCTTGTAGGAGGAGGAGTTGTTGGCCGGGCATGGGCTTCATGGCGATCGGGACTTTGGTGGGTTTGGGGGCTATCGTGAGGGGGCGCAACGGAGGTATAGTGGTCGTTTTTGTTTTCACGTCTGGAAGGATCTCCTCTGGAGAGGGGGCACGTTCGGTTTCTATCTCGACTTCGTGGGCTAGTTCGGACTGCATGACCTCTTCTTCCACCTGTCCGGTCTCGTCGACGGTCTCGATTATCACTTCTGGCTCTACAATAGTGAGAATTATTCGCGATTGGGGGGTTCGTCTCCTTTACCGTCTGTCTCCATCTCGTTCGACAAGTGCAGCTCCTGCGACAGCTCGGCCAGTTGTTGGATGTCCGTCGAGGTCAGCCCCGACAGGTTGCTCTCGTTCAGCGTGGCCCCCTCGATCGTGAGCGTGTCGACGAGGGCCTCCACGTCGTCGCTCCCGCCTGAAAGCCCCAATTTTTGAATTAGAACCCCTGGATGGCCCACAACTCAAACGCTATCATGCTTCAAGTTAAAAAAAAATTAACAAGTATAAACCGTAATACCAATGAGGGTGAAAGCGGGAGCACTCATGTTATTTGCAAATTGGCGCTTTAGGGTAAATTTTGATTTAAATTTGGTTGCCCCACAAGCTGAAGAGGACGCCTTTTAAAATTCCGTCCCAAATGGACGAAGCTGGGTCGGGAAATGGTCTGGAACTGTGCAAGAAGCGTCTGCGTGAAGTAAATACGACACCTTTTTCACTGAAGGGCATAATTTCGTCCGATATTTGCCACAATTCACAAAAATTAAAACTATTCAAAACACCATAGTCAAATTTGACAGATCACGTGACCACCGAAGCGTTCCAGTGCGCTGCCAACCGACGCGCCAAAGTCCCCAGGCGGAATTTTCTTCGCCTTTCGAAAAAAGGGAAATTGGAAAACTCCCAGCAACCGATCGCTTTGAGTGACGTTTCAATCGCCGGCTATTTTTTTCGCGGAAAAATGTCACAATCTCACCGTGACTGTTCAATTTTGATTTAGGTTTTTTTTGAAAACGATGGAAAATTTTTTCTCGAAAATTGACGAAAAGAAGCAAGAGCTGCAGCGGATTTCGCAAGGAGAGACGAAAAACCCGAAGCCAAAGGCGGAAGTTAGGCTTTTACAGTACGATGCGAAGACGAGCGATGTTAAGAAAGCTTGTCTGCCGGGGTGTTGTCCTTCGTTAAAGGAGGATGGCCGTTTGGTACGTTTTCAAATTTATTAATAAGATTATAGTAAAAGTGAGTGGAGTTAACATTTTTGAAAATTTGCAAACAAACGTGGCCACGCTGTAACTACGGCGCTGGTGCCACATCTACTGTGACGTTGCAGTTAGAGGGAACTGTGCGGCGAGAAGCACGCATGCGCAATAATGGCGGGCTTAAAAAATGGCACGCCGTAGATAAAATGTTCCAGTAACAGTGAGACAAGGAAAAATGAAAATAGGAACTATAAAATCAATATCTGATAAAGAATATAAAAATACAACGAGAATAAACATAGACTCCCACAAGTGGGTATGAGTCACTTCCACAATACAACCATTGATTTAACGCTATTAGCTAATGCATTTTTATAATGACCCAGAAGTTTTGGGGTTTTGTAGACACAATAAACCATTTTCTTCTATGCTGTTTATGTCAACTACATTATCACCGTGTAGTTATAAATATTACCAAAGTATATTTATTAATAGCAATGATTACGCAGAAATCACAATTTTCGTTGGACAAATTAAAAAAAAAACACCTATTTTGTCAAAATTATGACGTCATCTATATATTTCTTGCAACTTTAATTTATAAAATACATTTTAAAAAGAATATAAGCTGCTTTTAGTTGTCTAAATCTCTTAGCATTTATGTAAACAAACAAAATAAGAATCTAAAACTAATAGGCTTGTAATTAAATGATAAGTATAAAATGTATTTTTTTTAGGTAACTTAAATAGTTTGTTCTGTACATTAATAAGTTTGTTCAGTAGAAATTGTAAGTATTAAAATAAAACGTGACCAGTACAATGTGCAAGTATTTAATTGTGCTGTGTTTAGTAAAAATAATAGATGTTCAGTAGAAATGCCAGAGTGCCTGGTTGACCTAACTCAGGCCTATACCATGTCTCCTTCTACCATGGACCTAACTGGCGATGGCACGTTTTAATGAATACTCCTATTTAGTAAAAAATAGTAGTCTATAAGTACATACGGGTAATTGTAACAATAGGTAGGAGACAAAATTTTTAACAAATATTTTATTAGGAAAAATAAAACATACTAAAAAAATAACAATAAACAGTAAAATAATAATAATAAACAGTCTTCATTGTTTCAATAATAACAAATAAATGATTCTATATAATAAAGATTAACATGCATATTCTAAAAAAATAATGAGGTTATGTATCATGTGTGGTTGTTACTATAAAGAACACCAGAATTTTCTAACGAACCTATTCAATTTCTACTGAACGTCTATGATTTCTACTGTACATCCAACATTATTAACTAAGCTTTCGTTATTTTTACAGGACAATAGTTTTATTTACTGAACAAAATGAATAATATACATAACTTCCATGATAAAAACATATCGTTAAAATTAGTTACTGTAATAAAAAATTTGTTATATGACAATTATATTTTCAAATGAACAATTGTATAATATATCGGTAAAGGTAACTTGTCGAAAAAATGTTATACTGAGCAGAATATTTTTACCGAAACTAATATAAAAACTGTACTAACAAATTTGAAATTAAGTTTTTTTGTTTTTGAAGTGTTATGAAGTTATTTAAGATAAACCACAAAGAAATAAAATTCGAGTTTAAAAAATATTAGCCCGCGTTCATTTTTTAACTTGGTGTATAGATTTTTGGAAAAAATTGAAATTGAAACTTGAAACCACAAAAACCACCAACATTTCAAATATTTTAAGATTATCGCAAACATAGTAACTAACTAAAATCAGTATAGTTGACAGTAAATGAAGAATTTTTTGTTCCATATCGTTGATTTCAAAACGGCGACTGTAAATTGCAGTAAAGGTAAAATGTTTGAATTTATATCTGAAGTTGCGCATCTGTGTTTAATGGTGATCAATAAAACTCTCTGAGATATATTTATTTAATATCTTGAACAAAATAATTTGTTTGAACTCAAAATGCTTGAAAATTTTTCAAATTATCGAGGTCACCAAGCTACCGCGCATGCGCTCTTTCTGGAATCCAGCTTGCCCCCAGCACGCTCTAGATTTTCACCGAATTGCGAACAAAGCCCCCTTGTCTTCCGATCGCGCATCCTTCGCCCCAATTCCTCGAAAACAGCCGCAAATCAACTGATAAGAGATAACACACATCGGGATAATCCCACACCGCCGTTATCGACTGCGCAACGTGGCAACGCCGCCTCTATCCCCTTCTCTCTCCAATAAAAGAAAATAATTTGAGGTTCTCGTCCCGACGGTGTGGTCGTGCCGCAAAATAACTGTTAAACCAGAAATAATCCAACCGAAGCTTATTAAAAGCAGTGCCGGTCCTATTTCCAACCAAACAACGCAATAAAAACACCGGTTCGTTTTAACTCAACCTCGATCAAACGCATCACAGGTGAGTAAATCGGCGAATTGTTGCGAAAAATTGTCACATGAATAGGCCACGTCCTGTCGGCGGGCAAAAATAGGCTCGTTTTCCCCGTTCGCGTTAAAAACAAGCTGGCTGTGGCCGGATCGGCGCTCGTTATGTAAGACGGGAAGTCGATTGATTTTTCGCTTTTTCACGCCAAATCGGGGGCGGGGGCGGGGCGAGGCCGCCCCACGGCGGCTTTCGAGGGGGTGTTGTGTCAGGGGGTCGCGTCTGGGGGCCGTGGGGGCCCCGCACTGGGGGGTACAACGCCATCTTGGCCGGTCGTGACCTCTGTGGTTGTGGCTAGGATCGCGAGGGGGAGCTGGAGGCACTTCCACGAGTGTCAAAGTGGCACTGAAGTCAAGGTTAGGTATTTTTAGAAAGGGGAGACCAAATTTTAGGTTTAAGACGGTAAAAAGTGGAAATGAGCCCGTAGTGGGTTGAAATGGATACCAATGTGGCCCAAGCTTTTTTATTTTGGTCACTACTACAAATTCTGAAGCGGAATTTTTCAAAAAAAAAAAAATCGGCTTGTTTCGTTGTCAAAATTTCTGGATGACGAATCAAAGTATGACGTCATCCAAATTTTTTTAAATGGAAACCCCGCTCTTAAATTAAACGGGTAAAACGACCTGGTCAAGTGCAACAACTACAACAACCGGTTTTGGAGAAAAATTACCCCTTGATTTAATGCATACTCAACGATTATCGAGGTGTTTTCCTACCCAATCAAAATGTGTGTATTGGACCCCTCCAAAAATTGATGACCTCACGAAGATATTATTAAGCAAAACTGAATGCGTAGTATAACAGGTTCCTTTCGCTCGGTTTTAATAGTTTGTAATTTAGTACTTTGTCATAGAGTACGTAACAGAATTTTTGATAAGATATCAGTATTTATCTAGGAATGAAAGAGCATTAAGCCAAATTTATTCGTCAAAAAGTTGTGAAATGCGGGAATAAAATTTACGTATGAAGTTGTATTTTATTGATTTATTATGACACATGACATATTAACCACCTTAATTAAATCCAAAAACGTCCACCATTACTAAAAAGTGGCAAATCTGCAGTGTCACGTTATTTTGACAGTTTGATGTGTTTCGGATTTCGACAAGGCGGCAAAAGAGATTGCCTACTTTGACGTATTCTTAAATCTTCAAAAAGTGGTATTTTTCACGTTTTTACTGTTTAATAAAACTCACTAGATTTGTTGAGTGACATGTAATAAATGAACTAAAATCAAATTATGTTGTAAACTAGTTATTGTAGACATTTAACTTAACTTAGAAATCATATGTGGGTTATGCGCAAAAGTGGCCGCCTTTTCCTGTTTTATTACTATTATTGTGAAAAAAATATAAATTAAGAGTTAACTGTGATTTTAAAACTTCAGTTGGCAGTTCGTGTTTAACTTATTTTGAGGTTAACAGTAGTGTTTGCATGTCAAAGTGACATTTATCTTCGCAGATAATGGCCCCACCACCATACTCCGATCTTGGCAAGAAGGCGAAAGATGTCTTCGGCAAGGGCTACCACTTCGGTCTCATTAAACTGGACTGTAAGTCAAAGACTGGCTCCGGGGTTGAGTTCAACACTGGGGGAATCTCCAATCAAGAATCCGGCAAAGTCTTCGGCTCCTTGGAGACAAAATACAAAGTTAAAGAGTACGGATTGACTTTCTCTGAGAAGTGGAACACAGACAACACTCTCGCAACGGAGGTGGCCATCGAGGATCAGCTCCTCAAAGGACTGAAGCTGTCAACAGATCTGACTTTCTCGCCACAGACTGGGTAAGACTTCGTTGCTAAGCAAAAACAGACGTATGACGTAGTGCCTTAGGAGCAAATCGGCTCGCGTCAAATCCGCCTTCTGCAACGAGAGGGTAGCCTTGAACTGCGACGTAGACTTGGACTCGAGCGGCCCCTTGATCCAGGCTTCGGCCGTCGTGGGACACCAGGGCTGGCTGGCCGGCTACCAGAGCGCTTTCGACACCCAGAAATCAAAACTCACTAAGAACAACTTCGCTCTAGGTTTCTCGACTGGCGACTTCATCCTTCATACCAACGTGTAAGCTCTTTAAAAACCCTAGAAACTACTCTAGGGAATTTTAGCGACTATCCCCAGTAGACCCCCGGGCATCCTGACTTCCCCAGACCCTTTTATTAACCCGTCTTTCTAAAATTAGTGATCACAGTGACGACGGCCAGGAGTTTGGGGGTTCTATCTACCAGAAGTTGTCTCCGAAATTGGAAACTGGCATCCAGTTGGCGTGGTCTGCAGGCAGCAACAACACAAAATTCGGCATAGGGGCTAAATACGACCTAGACCAGGACGCCGCTATCCGTGCCAAGGTCAACAATTCCAGTCAGATCGGTTTGGGTTATCAGCAACGTCTGCGCGAGGGTAGGTTTTGTAGGTTATGTTTTTGTTGGGTGTTAATTGTTTTGGTTGGCAGGCGTGACTCTGACCCTGTCGGCCCTCATCGACGGCAAGAACTTCAACAACGGCGGCCACAAGATCGGCCTGGCCGTCGAATTAGAGGCTTAATCAGAATTTCGTCTGTTCCAAATTGTATTAGAACCAAAACACGTTTCAGCCTGCTGTATTGTAGATATTTTAATTGTTCTATGGGACTTTTTAGTATTAAAACATATACCTGAATACGTCTTTGTTTTTGCGTTTTGTCTGTAGTGGTTTTATGAAGTCGTCCTTTTTGTTTCCGTTTCGGGATTACTTGTGAAATTGCTACTTCCCACACACGATTTTTTTACTTGTGCAAGCTTTTAATTCGACCTTTTTTTTGACATGAAGTATTGTAAAACAATAAATAATTTACAAAATGTTGTGTTTTTATTAAGATACCATTTGCTCTTCCATGACCTTGCTGATCCACTCGGGCTCGTTCTTCGCGATGGACTCGATGATTGAGTTCACTTGGTAGCATAAAGACTGGATTTGCTTGTCCCACTGGGGGAGGGTTTCGCGAGCTGGAAACAAAGAACTTTTGTTATGACTGGATAAAGCGACCAAGAACTTACTCTCAAAGTGGACAATGGAGTCGATTTGGTCGATGTAGCCGTTCATGCGACCTTCGGTTATCATCTGGCTAGCGATTTTCTCAGCTTTTGATGGGTGGATTTCCAGAAGAGCACCCAATTCTTCGAAACTTATGTTATTGTAGAGTTTGCTCGCGGACAAGAGGTTGTGTTCGATGACGGCACGATCCAGAATCGTCGAGCCGTCTATGGTACAAGCTTTTTGATGGGGCTGTAACAAAACGAAATCCACAAAAATCGTACATATTTTCGCAGCTTTGTGCAATATTTACAAAACTTGTTTACCAATTTTTGCCAAAATGATGTAATAAGAAGATACCTTTGTCGCTTACGTCAGAAGTTTATCGTGACAGTTTATAAATAGATTCCACATTTTAACACTTAGTTTAATACAATGAATTTTGTTGTTGCATAATGGGGCGATAATTGAAAGATTTATCAAATGAGGGATTACGTTAACGTTTTTATAACCTACAAATATATGGCGACAAATAAATTTTGATAATACGACAGGACATAAAAAATATATTGTTTTTCAAAAGCAAGGACTTGTTTTACACGTCACATATTCACGTGTTCGGTGTAAAAATAAAGAATTACAAAAATTATATTTATTCTGGCGATATTTTTTAGGGTTAACCTACGGGTTTTCGTAAATGTTTCTTACATCGCAGTAGGTTGTGAAATTTGCCGCCTACATTTCTGAGTGTACTTGTTTTATTTGAAGATTAATTGATGCGTTTATTTGGTTGCCTATACATGCCACATTCTTGGGCACGACATACCATTAATACAATTGTTTGAACAAAAGGACCACACTAATTAGAGGCACATCAGTTTATTAACGATTTTGTAAACTGAAATAACATTGTCATGGTTTTCATGTGAATGTTTATCTGCAATCCCGGATTTCGCCGTTGTGAATCAGGTCGCCTATCTGGCGCTCTCATTTTTTTGCTCGACTGTTATTCTGAACTCTTTCAAGTCTACTTATGTCTTATGTCAATTTTATAAAAGAGACCAAATTATATAACTTTTTAAAAGTGAACCAGAAATCCTTAGGCAGACAATTTTTCAATTAAATTCCTTTGTTTATTTTGTTGCTCAAAACAAAGCGTATTTCTGTTTATTTTCTACAGTGATAAATTTAATACCGATGTAGGTTCAAGAATACCTCACCCTTGGAATAACCTTGAATCTATTCTCCGTTTTGTTGCTTTAATTAACGCTTTGGCGAACTCAGAACACCTTAATTGCGCCACATCACATGATAATGGGTGAAAGTAGTAACTAACGAACCTAACAAAACCAAAAAGTGTAACAATTAAAGGAAAAACTTACTTTAGCTACTCGGTTTTTTTTTCAAAAAAATTCTTTTGGGACTCCTCAACAACAGCTACTGATTACAAAAATGACATTAAATTTTTGTGCATTCTCGTAAGTTTTTAAATGTATGCTTTCTAAGAAGTAGGCAACCAATAATTTATGTTGCATGACAGCTTTTGCTCACCTAAATTTTGTGAAATAATAAACTCTTGTACTGGTGGTCTATGAATGCGTCTTGAACAAATCTACATTTTTTTTGTGCAAAATTTTCCACGTCAAATATTTCGTAATCGAGTAGGATTGATGACTCGTAATTGTATTATTTATATTTTTTATTTATAGGTGCCATCATAACAAATCACATTTTCAATCAAATTTTATAATTTGATGAGGGAATTTCTCTCTAAATAACCTCTGTTATTTATAAATTATATACCAATAATACACTCAACTGAACCATGATCAACATATCTATCATAGGTTTAATACTGACTGAATTGAAAATTAACCTAAAATCACAGAAAAACTTATTAAATCTGTCAAAATTTTTAATTTTACCTACTGCATTTAAGTGTCAAAATAAAGAACCCACGTCTATGTATAGCCTATGAATCTCCTGAAAGCTTTGACGTAAATGTCATTTCTTTGTCGTTACGTTTTGTCTAAGACTTTATGGAACATGTTTTCAAAAAGTCGTGGTTTTAACGTTTTTTTTTTAATACTTTCATTAATTAATACAATTTACCGAAGAAATAAAACATTGACAAAAATCGAACAACCTAAAATCGGAGCTGAAAATTTGATAAATCGAAAAATTGAGAAATCAAAAAAAAAAAAAATCGAAAATTGTAAATTCGTAAAATGGAGAAATTAAGAAACTGAAGAAACTAAAAAATCTAAAAAATGCTAACTAAAATTCAATAATCATAAATCTGGAAACTGAAAAATTATTATTACTATTATTATTATTATTTGTGCCTCTTCACAGACGAGTCCATTTACGAAGAGAACAAAAAATTGAAAATATCGCACAATTCGAAAAATTCAAAAGTTGAAATGAAAAATTTTTAAGTAAAAACTCGAAAAATTGAAAACTATAAAAACGGAATAATCGGAAAATTGTAAGGTTAGGAAACTGCGAATCGAAAAACTAACAAATTGAAAAATTAAAAACTGAGCAGCTGAAAAATTGAAGAATTTAAGAAACGGAACATTGAAAAATCGACTAATTCAAAATCGAGACTGAAAAAGTGATAAATCGAAAAATTTAGAAATCAAAAAAATAATCGTAAATTTAAATATAAAATTTATAAATTCGCAAAATGGAAAAATCGAAAAATTTAAAATTCGAAAAATTGAAGAAACTGAAAAACATATAATAAAGTACTAACTCGAAAAATTAAAAAATCAAAAGCGGAAAAATGAAAAGTTGAAATATCAAAAATTATAACTTAGGAAATTAAAAAATTGAGAGAGAAAACTCGAAAAATTGTAAAAACGAAAATATCCCACAATTCGAAAAATTCATAAGTTGAAAAAAAAAATTCATAAGTAAAAACTCGAAAAATTGCGAATCGAAAATCAAAAAATTGAAGAAACGAAGCAATGAAAAATCGAAGATTAAAAGATCGAGACTGAAAAATTGAAAGAGTGAAAACTTGAGAAATTGTAAAAACAGAAGAATGAAAATTTCGCACAATTCGAAAAATTCAAAAGTTGAAATGAAAAATTCATGAGTAAAAACTCGAAAAATTGCGAATTGAAAATAGAAAAACTAAAAACCATAAAAACTGAATAATTGAAAAATTGTATACTCAGAAAATCGCAATTTAAAAAACTGAAAATCGAAAAATCGAACAATAAAAAATCTAGACTGAAAAATCAATCGGGAAACTGAAAAACTGGAAGAATGAAAACCCGAAAAATTGAAAATATCCTACAATTACCACTTTAAATTCCTTTTAACGCTTTTTTTAATACTTTCTGATATTACAATTTAATCGTTACATTGTAAATCGAAAAACTGAAAAATCGAAAATTGTAAATTCGTCAAATGGAGAAATCGAAAAATTGGATACTCGAAAAATGGAGAAATTAAAAAATTTGAGAAATTGGGAAATCTAAAAAATGTTAACTGAAAAATTCAATAATTATTATTAGTTGAAGTGAAACATTTTTAAGTAAAAACTCGAAAAATTGACAACTATAAAAACGGAATAATCGGAAAATTGTAAGGTTAGGAAATCGAAAAACTAAAAAATTGAAAAATTAAAAACCGAGCAGCTGAAAAATTGAAGAATTTAAAAAACGAAACATTGAGAAATCAAAAAAATAATCGTAAATTATTGTAAATTCGCAAAATGGAAAAATCGAAAAATTCAAAATTCGAAAAAATGAAGAAACTGAAAAACAAAGTACTAAGTGGAAAAATTAAAAAATCAAAAACTGGAAAATGAAAAGTTGAAAAATCCAAAAATTATAAATTAGGAACCTGAAAAATTGAAAGAGAAAACTCGAAAAATTGTAAAATCGAAAATTGAAAATATCGCACAATTCGAAAAATTCAAAAGTTGAAAAGAAAAATTCATAATTAAAAACTCAATAACCGAAAAATTAAAAACGGAGACGCTGCAAAATCGAAAAATTGAAGAAACGAAGCACTGAAAATCGAACATTAAAAGATAGAGACTGAAAAATTGATAAATCGAAAAATTACATTTCGAAAAATTTAAAAATAAATTGGGATATTGAAAAAGTGAATGAGTGAAAACTTGAGAAATTGTAAAAACCGAAGAATGAAAATTTCGCACAATTCGAAAAAAATTCAAAAGTTAAAATGAAAAATTCATGAGTAAAAACTCCAAAAATTGTATGATCAGAAAATCGCAACTTAAAAAACTGAAAATTGAAAAATTATATACGAAGAAGCTAGAAAATCGAAAAATGAACAAACGAATCATAGAAAAATCGAACAATAAAAAATCTAGACTGAAAAATCAATCGGGAAACTGAAAAACTGGAAGAATGAAAACCCGAAAAATTGAAAATATCCTACAATTACCACTTTAAATTCCTTTTAACGCTTTTTTTTAAAACTTTCATTTTAATTAACACAATTTAATTGTAAGATCAGAAAATTGTAAATCGAAAAACTGAAAAACCGAAGAATTAAAAACTGAGAAACTGAACAATTGAGAAATAAAAAAAATCGAAAATTGTAAATTCGTAAAATAGAGAAATCGAAAAATTGGATACTCGAAAAATAGAGAAATTAAGAAATTGAAGAAACTAAAAAACCTAAAAAGTGTTAACTGAAAAATTCAATAATCATAAACGGAATAATCGGAAAATTGTAAGGTTAGGAAACTGCAAATCGAAAAACTAAAAAATTGAAAAATTGAGAAATCAAAAAAATAATCGTAAATTGTAAATTCGCAAAATGGAAAAATTGAAAAATTTCAAATTGGAAAAATTGAGAAACTGAAAAATTGAAGAAACTGATAAATTAAAAGGTGAAAAATCTAAAAATTGAAATTATCGCACAATTCGAAAAATTCAAAAGTTGAAAAGAAAAATTCATAATTAAAAACTCGAAAAATGCCAATCGAAAATCAAAAAATTGAAAACTATAAAAACTCAATAACCGAAAAATTAAAAACGGAGACCCTGCAAAATCAAAAAATTGAAGAAACGAAGCATTGAAAATTGAACATTAAAAGATAGAGACTGAAAAATTGATAAATCGAAAAATTACATTTCGAAAAATTTAAAAATAAATTGGGATATTGAAAAAGTGAATGAGTGAAAACTTGAGAAATTGTAAAATCGGAAGAATGAAAATTTAGCACAATTCGAAAAATTCAAAAGTTGAAATGAAACATTCAC